GATCTCATTTAATCTTTGATGTACTTCCTGTAGGTTTCTTTTGTGAAGCTGGTTTCCAGGTGATGGTTCATGGCAATGTTAACACCCGTTATTACGTTATTACTGTTACCTTCACTGTTGGTGTCTTTAACGGAGGCGTTTCCACCAAAAAGCGAGTCAGGGATGTTACCCTAAATCCTGCTGACTATTTTCTCCTCCACTTCCAGCCACAGCCCGTATGTAATCTCCCCGATCTTGTAAATGTTGGAGAACATCTCGTCATGGCTAATGAAGTCTAAGAATAATTAGGATGGCGGCTGCAGGGACCAAGGCGGCCTAGTTTAGCAGAAGCCCGGAGCTCAGAGCTCGTGGGGTGCAGCCTGACCCGTGCTCAATGGGAGGGGGGAGGGGGGAGCGGGTAGGGGGCCGAAAAAGCCCTATGTTCTATTATTTTAATGTTATCATTTATTACTTTACACTATTATTACTATATTAAATGGTCATTTTTGTTCACTTTCACCCACATATGTACTAATTTATTTCCTTGTTATTTCTTCTTGCATCTCAGAACTCCCTCAATAAGATATTGTTTCTTGGCTGAAGAAAATACTTTAAACACTCTTTTAGAACTGTTTATATGGTGACAAATTCTTGATTTTCAATTTGTCCAAAATTGTATTTAATATTTTCTTCATTCTTACGTCATGATTTAACTAGGTTAACTCACTTTATCTCAAATTATCTGAAGGTATTTTCCTGGTTTTGTTTTTTACTGTATCTAAGGGTTGGCCCAGAATCAGGCAGTGCTTCATTCTGCTGTGCATAATAAGGTCGCTATGGGTCGGTACCGACTCGATGGTACATAACAACAACAATTATTGCTCTCAAAATTCTGTTTCCTAGGAAATTTGTCTTGTTCTACAAGCTGCCTTTTGTTTTTTTCTTTTTCTTTCTTTCACTTCAGCAGACATTTATTGAACCCTCCCATTATAGGCAAACATTATTGGGTTACTCTACCCATGCTTAAGATCAATTTTCAAAAATTCTGAGAAATGTTGATGTGCTGTTACTTTAGTTTAGTCTTTGAAAGAGTCTCTCTTTATCCATACTTCTTAACTTTTCTTCCATGTTATCAGTCTCATTATCTTTATAGATTAATCTAGACAATACTTTGATCAAATTCCCAGTTCACTTGTTCTTCTTTTAATATTGTGTAACCTATTATCTGGACTCTTGGTGCCGCACATTAAGATCAGTACTAGACTGCGAGCCACAAAGTCAGCAGTTCAAACTCACCAGCTGCTCCTTGGAAACCCTATGAGTCGCTATGAATTGGAACAGACTCAATGGCACTTAACAACAACAGCAACAACCTTTGATTCTAATATTAAATTCATAGTTCAATTTCTATATTTTGAGAGGCTATGTATATTTTTTTCCTTAACTTTGCATAGTAATTTTTATCAACTCACCTCTCAGTCATAAAGAATTTCTTATCCGTCTTAAGTGTTTAAGAAACTTCACTATTTCTATTTAATAATTTTAGTACCTAAAGTACTCATATTTGAATATTTTATAATTTATGTGGCTGTTCACTTACATAGCTTATAGTTTGGTTGCTTTCAGATTGAAAATCAAATTAAAACATCCAGGTTTCATTTCTGGGACTCCTGACATAAAAGATACCTTGGATTGAAAATTCATCCCACAGAGAAATTTAGTTTTCTTCTGACAAGTGTTCTAGAATTCTACCATGCAAGGACAACTTTAAGTTCTCCTTTTCTAGTCAAGGTCTTCAAGAGCACACTTGCAGTGAAGATTTGAAACATAGAGTCATTTGAGAGCAGGTCTAAGGTTTCACATTTTCAAAAAACTTTTAAAAGTTTTTCTTCATAGAATTAGGAATGAGACAAACAATTTTCCCTGAATTCTATGATAATAAGTTAAATTTCATTCTTATAAATTTTAAAATCCTTTCAATGAAAAAGAAGCCTTGAAGAGCTCACTTTAGGCACTGCTGTTGTTGTTATTAAGTGCCATCAAATCAGTTATGACACTCCTGTATAGGTTTTCTTATGTACGGCTGGCAGGTTTGAACTGACAACCAGTGTTTTAGGTATTGTATTTCAATCTCACCTTAAGCAGGACCAACAAGATCTACTTTTCTATTCATGCAGTGATTATTTAAGCCCAAGTGGCTAGAACCCATAAAAGGGCTCCTTTAGGGGACATCTGAGTGCTTAGCTGTTATCTTATGCTCATACATCTAGCTGTGTTGCTTATAGGGGAAGGAGTCAGCCTTCTTACTATAAAGTGAAGGTGAGCTAGGACACTGATACAAATACCGCCAGACTGATTTTTTTTTTTTTTTTTTAAAGACTATCCTTCCCCCTATGAATAGGAAAGATAATCTTCTCCTACCCATCTCAGACTCCAAAATGAGAAAGAATTTGCAGCTAATAATCAGAGATTTCTTTTGATTTTCTAAATTACAGTCAAAAGTGGAATGAAAGACAGGAAAACTACTCTCCAAAACTTATGAGAAGAGTTATTATCATTTTACTTCTCTTTCAAGAGCTCTCCTAACTCTTTATGATTATTGCTGACACCTCTTATTCAACTCAAAGTCAGTCGTTTGTCAGTAATCACAAAAAGCCCAGGGCACAGGAAAAGGCTTACAAAAAATAAAACATATAGAAACCTTTAACATGTAATTTTAATATAAATATATTGCATTCCTGGTCCTTATGTTGGTCTATGTCTCTTTCCCTGAATAAGTCCCTTGATTATAGTTTAATATCATTTATCTGGTACAAATCATATCCATAGTTTATTATCGTTGCCAATTTTTATTTTTTGAAATAAAACCTAAACATAAAGAAACAAAGCAATCCATATGTAAAATCCAAAAATAAATTTTCAAAAACACCTGTGTGTCACAGTTGTTATGGAAAATTTTGATTTTGTTATTATTGTCATTAGATGCTACAGAGTTGGCTCTAATATGACCTTTTATATAATGAAACATTACCCAATCCTGTACCATCCTTAAAAGACTAGGTAAGTACGAGCTATTGTTGCAGTTACTATCTCAATACGTCTCATTGAGGGGTTTCTTCATTTTGGTGACCTTTTACTTTACCAAGTATGTTGTCCTTTCCTAGAGATTGGCCCCTCCTGATAACATGTCCAAAGTTGCTTCTAAGGAATATTCTGGCTAGACTTTCTACAAGACATACTTATTCATTTTCTGATAGTCTTTATTATTTTCAATATTTACTGTCAACATAATTTGTTGTTTTTTTGTTTTGTTTTTATTTTTTTTTTTTTAATCATCCAACTTTCACATGATTGAAAATATTATGACTTGGGTGAGACACTTTAGTAATCAAAGTGAAATCTTTTCTTTTTTGCAATTTTAAATACATTTAAAATGTGCTTCATATTTACTAAGACTGTGACATGTTTCCAACTTATAGTGCAAGAATTTCTGTGTATGTGTCTATGTGTACATGTGTGTGCATTTTCTGCTATAATCACTGACTCAAATACCAGACATTTTTCAAGTCAAAGAGAAACTGCCCTGTATCCATTAAGAATGCAAATTAAGCTATGACTAAATGGGTGAAATAGATACTGGTAGTATTTACAAATTTATTTTTTTTTTTAGTATCTCATGATCACATCTACCAGGGGGCGATCAGAGAGCTTAATAGCATACCAAGTAATTTCATCAAAATATTAAAAAATACCACAGCACCACAATGCCTAAAAAGCAATAAAAAATGTTTATTCATGTACAGATTGGCGGAAACAAATGAGCTGGAGGTAGGCCTAGAATTATCATTAGAAGGAGGGCAGGGTTTAGAACTGCCTCAGAAGGAATTCAGGAGAATGCTATTAAGGCATGCATCCAAATTTTCCACAGAAGGATTGAGAAAACTAAGGGCAAAGCCTGGAAAGTGCTAAAGGAACAAGCCAATAAGCTACAAATAGCATTGAAAACCTGCAAAAAGGGATCAAAATGATTAATAATAAAATATCAGAAATGAACAATACACTGAAAGTGCAAAGGAGTAGAATTGAAAGGATGAAACCAAAATCAAAGAGCCTGAAGACAAATATATCAATATTGCTAAGATAGAAGAGTAGCAGAAAAATTAATTAAAAATCTGAAGACAATCTAAGACTTATGTTGGATAACAAGAAGAGAAATAACCTAAGGGTTATTGCAATCCCAGAACAGGAAGAATCACAGAAAATCATAGAGAAGATAGTTGAAAAACAGGTAGAAGAAAATTTCCTTAACATCCTGAATGATGTGAAGATAATCATTCAAGAAGCTGAATGAACCCCAGGAAGGATAGACGACAAAAGAAAATCACCAAGATATACCATAATCAAGCTCTCCAAAATCAAAGACAAGGAGAGAATGCTGAAAGCAGCTAGGGTAATAAAAAGTGTTACCTACAAAGGCAAGCAAATCAGATTCAGCTTTGATCTCTCAGCAGAAACCATGCAGCAAAAGGCAATGAGCCCTTCTCCACAGCGGTTTGTGTTGAGAGTGCGAAGTGTGTGCTCCTGGCTCAGAACACACATTTATTATTTTAAAAATCTAAAAAAAACTTAAAAAAAAAAAAAACATATTTACACAAAGTCCGCATCTCCCCCGCTGGAGACTTTCCCACCCCCCACCCCCTTTTATAAAATAACCTGGTGAAGCAGCCCAGACCGACCCGCCCAAGGCCCGGCAGCAGCTCCAAGAAGGAACCAAGAAACTGAGGCCTTTCCTCTGCCCAGACCCTACACTGCCACTCTCGCTCCCCAGCCAGCAGCCAACGGCAGCTGATTAAGCGGGTTCTGCAGCCGTTGAGGAGTTTTCGATTCCTGATGATTTTTGTCCCTTGGCGCTTGCCCCCGCTCCGCTCTCCCCAGCTCTGGCCACGGCCCCAGCGTCCCAGCACTCGCTCTTTTCTCACGGAAAGGTCATGGCTTGTGGCCCTGCGGGCAGCTGTGCCGAGATGAACCCCAGTGCCCCCAGCTACCCCATGGCCTCACTCTATGTGGGGGACCTACGCCCCGATGTGACCGAGGCGATGCTCTATGAGAAGTTCAGCCCGGCCGGGCCCATCCTCTCCATCCGCATCTGCAGGGACATGGTCACCCGCCGCTCTTTGGGCTACGCGTATGTGAACTTCCAGCAGCCAGCAGACGCGGAGCGTGCTTTGGACACCATGAATTTTGATGTTATAAAGGGCAAGCCAGTACGCATCATGTGGTCTCAGCGAGATCCATCGCTTTCCAAAAGTGGAGTGGGCAACATATTCATTAAAAATTTGGACAAATCTATTGATAACAAAGCACTGTATGATACATTTTATGCTTTTGGAAACATCCTCTCATGTAAAGTGGTTTGTGATGAAAACGGTTCCAAGGGCTATGGATTTGTACATTTTGAGACACAGGAAGCAGCTGAACGAGCTATTGAAAAAGTGAATGGTATGTTTCTAAATGATCGTAAAGTATTTGTTGCACGATTTAAGTCTCGTAACGTACGAGAAGCAGAACTCGGAGCTAGGGCAAAAGAGTTCACCAATGTTTACATCAAGAATTTTGGAGAAGACATGGATGATGAGCTCCTTAAGAATGTCTTTGGCAAGTTTGGACCTGCCTTAAGTGTGAAAGTAATGACTGATGAAAGTGGAAAATCCAAAGGTTTTGGGTTTGTGAGCTTTGAGAGGCATGAAGATGCCCAGAAAGCTGTGGATGAGATGAATGGAAAGGAACTCAATGGAAAACAAATCTATGTTGGTCGAGCCCAGAAAAAAGTAGAACGGCAGACGGAACTCAACCGCAAATTTGAACAGATGAAGCAAGACAGGATCACCAGATACCAGGATGCTAACTTATATGTGAAAAATCTTGATGATGGTATTAATGATGAACGTCTCCGCAAAGAGTTTTCTCCTTTTGGAACGATTACCAGTGCAAAGGTTATGATGGAGGGTGGCCACAGCAAAGGGTTTGGTTTTGTATGTTTTTCCTCCCCGGAAGAAGCCACTAAGGCAGTTATAGAATTGAATGGTAGAATTGTGGCCACCAAGCCATTGTATGTCGCTTTAGCTCAGCGCAAAGAAGAACGCCAAGCTCACCTCACTAATCAGTACATGCAGAGAATGGCAAGTGTAAGAGCTGTATCCAACCCCGTTATCAACCCCTATGAGCCAGAACCTCCTTCAGGTTATTTCATGGCAGCTATACCACATACTCAGAACCGTGCTGCATACAAACCTCCTAGCCAAATTGCTCAATTAAGACCAAGTCCTCGCTGCACTGCTCAGGGTGCCAGACCTCATCCATTCCAAAATATGCTTGGTGCTATCCGCCCAACTGCTCCTAGACCACCGTTTAGCACTATGAAACCAACTTCTTCACAGGTTTCACGAGTTATGTCAACACAGACCATAGGCCCCCGCCCTGCAACTGCTGCTGTTGCAGCTGCTCCTGCTGTCCGCACCATCCCCCAGTATAAATACGCAGCAAGAGTTCGCAATCTACAACACCATCTTAATGCACAGCCACAATTCACCATGCAGCAGTCTGCTGTTGATGTACAAGGTCAAGAACCTTTGACTGCTTCCATGTTGGCATCTGCCCTGCCTCAAGAGCAAAAGCAAATGTTGGGTGAACGGCTGTTTCCTCTTATACAAGCCATACACCCTACTCTTGCTGGTAAAATCACTGGCATGTTGTTGGAGATTGATAATTCAGAACTTCTTCATATGCTTGAGTCACTGGAGTCTCTTTGTTCTAAAGTTGATGAAGCTGTAGCTGTACTACAAGCCCACCAAGATAAAGAGGCTGCCAAGAAAGTTGTTAACAGTGTTACTGGTGTTCCTACTGTTTAAAATGATCAGGGACCATGAAAAAGAAACTCGTGCTTCACTGTAGAAAAACACCTAAACATTAAAAAAAAATTTTAATATTGTGGGGGTAAAAAACAACAGCATTGCAAACTATAAAATAAATTAAAAAAAAAAAAAAAAAAAGGAAACTGTGTTTATGTACAGAGCAAATGACAGGTCTAGCAAATAACGCTAGTCCTAGATTACTTATTCATTTAAAAGCAAACAAACAAAAAAAAGTAAAATATAAAAACAAATTAATGTTTTATAGACCCTGGGAAAATAATTTTCAGCAAAGTACAAAATTTAAAGCATTCCTTTCTTTTAATTTTGTAATTCTTTACTGTGGAAAAGCTCAGAATGTCATTTCTGTTTTAGATGACAGAATTGGTAACTGAGCAAGGAAACATAATTTGGATTCTAAAATTCTTGCTTTAATAAAAATTCCTTAAACCATGAAGAAAAAAAAAAAAAAAAAAGACAATGAGAAGACATATATGAAACCCTGAAAGAAAAAATCTGCCAAAGAATCATTTACCCAGAAAAGCTGTCAATCAAATATGACAGTATAATCAAAACACTCCAAGATAAACAGAAGCCAAGGGACTTTATCCAAGCTCACACAGTGCTTCAAAACATTCTAAAGGGAGTTCTTTGGACTGAGAATCAACAAGAACAGACAACCACCAAAAAGTTGACATACATGGCAACACCACATGGAACTCAGTTAACAGGTGGAGAAATCCAGAGCAGAGCAAAACTACAAAACAAACTCAGAGACTCAGGGATGCCAGTCTATGATCAAAACAATTACAATGCAAAAGAAGGGAAAAATATAGGAACAGAGATCTGGGTGGTGAGGAGTTCAGGTAGATTACAGGGTAAAATAAACTCTTTTACAAGGAGAATATAGTTAATAGTATATAGGATAACCTCAAAGAAAATGAATACTTCAAACATATCAAGAAAACGAAAATCCAAGAACATGGATGTTAAATCTAAGAAGAAACTGACAGGAAAAAAGCACAAAAACATAAAGTCAGTAAAGGAAGGCATGCATAAAAAAGAAACCAGCAGCACCACAATAGAAACAAACATAATGACAGCAATATATTCATATCTATCAATAATTACACTAAATGACAACAGGTTAAATGCATCAGTCAAGAGACAGAGAGTGGCTGAATGTATAAGAAAACAAGATTCTTCAATATAAAAAAAAAAAAAGTTAACTGCAATCAGAAATGAACATGTATGGTGATACTAATCTCTCATAAAATAAACTTGAAGGCAAAACCCAGCATAATAGATAAGGAAGGACATTATCTCATGATTCAAGGATACATTGAACAAGATTACATAACCATAATAAATATCTACACTCCCAATGAAAGAACCCCAAATATATAAATCAAACTCTTAATAGAATTGGAGAAACAAATAGACAAATCTACAACAATGGTTGGTGATTTTAATATACCACTTTCGAAAAAGGATAGAACCAGAAAGAAACTCTGCAAAGAAACAGAGGAACTAAACAATACAATCAACCAACTTGACATCATAGATGTGTACAGACCACTCAACCCTACAACAGCACAAAACACATTAATTTCCAGTGCACATGGAACATTCTCCAGAATAGACCATGTGGTAGGCAACAAAAACAAGCCTCCATAAATTTATGAACATCAAAATAGCACAAATAATCTTCCCAGATCACATTACAATAAAATCATAAATCACCAATAGGAAGAAAAATTAAATAAAGACAAATACATGGAAATTGAGTAACATCTTGCTTATATGCTACTGGGTAGTAAAACAAATGAAATGGTGAATTTACAAAATTCCAAGAAACAAATGAGAATGAAAATACAGCATACCAAAATCTCTGGGACACACCAAAACTATGCTGAAAGGACAATTTATAGCACAATACATACACACATCCAAAAAGAAGAAAGAACCAAAATCAAAACATTAAGACAACATTTCCAACAGTAAGAAACAGAAGAGTAAAATAAACCTACAGTTAACAGAAGAAAAGAAATAATAAGAATTAGAGCAAAAGTAAATGAGAAGACAGAAAACATCTAGAAAGACTGGACAGGACAAGAAACTGGTTCTTCAAAAAGAATTAATAAAAATGACAAACCATTGACAACCCTAACAGAAGAAAAGAGACAAGACAAAAATAGCACACGTAAGAAACTGTATGGGTAATGTCTCAACAGAACAAATGGAAATAAAAAGGATAATAAGAAAACATGAAGAGTTGTACTCCAACAATTTGAAAATCTAAAGAATATGGACACATTTTTGAAAAACACAACCTACTTAAACATACACAGAGTGAAGTAGAAAATGTTAACAGAATTATAGCAAAGGAAGAAATTGATCACGTCATGTCCAGATAAGTAGGCATTTCTAACAACAAAAACATCTTCGATTATTTTTTTAGAAAAGTAACATACTAAATAAATTTTATCTGAAATGCTGCATGTCTAAAAGTGTCTTCATTATTTCTTCACACTTAATTTAAAATTTGGTTGGATAAATAATTTGAAGTTGAAATCATTGGTCCTCTAATTTTCAAGGCATTGTGGTTCAGTTTCCAAAATTGCAATTGAGAATTCTGATGATATTCATATTTTTAATTATTTGTGCATTGACATCGAGTCAATTCTGACCCATAATGACCCTGTATAGGAGGATTTCCAAAGAGCAGCTGGTGATCTTGAACTGCCGACCTTGCAGTTCAAATAGAGTTTTCAGTACAGCATCTTAACCCACATGTCCACACCAGGACTCAAATTATTCCTTCTCTGGAATCTTCTAGAATCTTACTTTTGGCCTGCTGTTGTTGTTAAGTGCCAAAAACTGAATCCCATTCATAGTGACCTTAAGTACAACAAAAGGAAACATTACTCCACCCTGTACTATACCCACAACTGCTATGTTTGAGCCCACTGTAGCCAGTGTATCAAGTCATTTACTTGATGGTCTTTGCAGAGCTGCTATTTATTATGGCCCTTCTAGCCAAATTTCTATATTTTGTGATATTTTGTAAATCCTAGCTTCTTTGCCTGTGAGTATGGACCAATTTTGAAATGAGTTGATAGATAGGACAAATTAAAGTGGAGCTAGTGGTTTTGAGTTGGCTTGTCGACTTCAAGGTCAGAAGTTCGAAACTACCAGCTGTTCTTCAGGAGAATGATGAGACATTCTGTTCCCATAAAGATTTGCAGCCTCAGAAACCCTGTGCAGGGTCACTATGAGTCGGAACCGACTTCACGGTACTTAACAACAACAACAAGGAGTCCTTGTGTAGCTCTGTGGGTTAATGTGTTAGACTACAAAGTTGGTTTGAACTGAGAGGTTGGCAGTTCAAGCTCACCAATCACTACTCAGAAACCTTATACAGGGTTGCTATGGGTTGGAACCGACTCAAAGGCCCTTAGACAACAACAACAACAACAAGGAGAAAAGGTTACAGTGAGTGTAAGTTTTAAGATTGCCTCTACCTTATTAGACGGTGTGATTCAAGTTACTACCCTTAGATTCCCTTGGGAGCCTGTTCTGATTCCAATTAATAAGACTGCTTTGGAAAAGCCTGCTCTCTTGCCCTGGATCTTGCACTTGGCTTATTACATCTGAACTCCATTTCATGAGACTATCAGTCCATCACCTGACCTGATTCACGAGCTCATGCATCCACAGCCTGTCATTTGAACTGTTTATTTTGGTTTCTTGGCTCCTAAGACTACGCAGACAAGATGATTCTCCAGACGGATCTCTAAACTGTGGATTTGGGACTCATCAGCTTTCACAATTTCATGTTTGTAAGAAGGGATCAATCACTGGAAAAGAACACCAAGGTTGACAAAATAGAGGGTCTGTGAAGAAGAGGATGACTGTATGAATAATTTCTTTTGTGAAAATCAACAGCTATCAATCATGGTGCTCTTTTCCAGTGATTGATCCCTCCTTACATGTTCAAAATACCAGATACAAAGTCTTGCCATCCTCATTTCTAAATGACAGATTTGTTGTTCTTGTAGTTGTTGTTGTTATGTGCCATGGAGTCAGTTCCGACTCGTAGTCTGTAAATCTTTACCGGAACAGAAAGCCTCATCTTTCTCCACAGAATAGCTGGTAGTTTCGAACTGCTGACCTTGAGGTTCACAGCCCAATTCGTAACCACTATGCTATCAGAACTCTTGTAGTAGTCCCTGTCAATATTCTTCTCCAACACAATAACTTAAACGCATACAGTCTCCTAAGATCTTCCTTACTCATTTTCCAGTTTTCACATACGTATGAGGCAATTGAAAACGCCTCAATTGGAATGAGTCAGTTGCAACTTAGGGTTCAAAGTAACATCTTTGCTTTTATTACTTTCAAGTTGTCTTCTGCAGAAGATTTTCCAAATGCAATACATCATTTGGTTTCTTGACTGCTGCTTCCATGGGAGTTGATTGTTGTTCCAAATAGACAATTTTAATCTTTTCTCCATCTATCATGTTGTTGTTTATCAATTCTTTTTAAAGATGTTTGTTTTCTTTACACTGAGTTGTAACCCATACTGAAGGCTGTATTCTTTGATTTTCCTCAGCAAATATTACAAGTCCTTTTCATTTTCAGCAAGCAAAGTTGTGCCATCTGCATATTGCAGGTTATTAATGAGTCATCCTCCATTCCTTATGTTTTTCTTTATACAGCCCAGCTCTCTGATTATTTGCTCAGCAAGCAGATTGAATAAATGTGGTGAAAAGATACAATCCTGGCACACATCTTTTCCTATTTTAAACCACACAGTATGACCTTGTTCTGGTCAAGTGACTGTATCTCAGGTTCTGTACAGTTCCTCATGCACACAGTAAGTGTTCTAGAAAATCTATTCTTCATATTATCTATAGTTGATTTTGATCCACAGAGTTGAATGCTTTGCATAGTCAATATAACAAATATCTTTCTGGTATGCCCCGCTCTCAGCTAAT